ATTCTAGTCTACTTCTCCTTTGTCAACCTACTCGTACGGATTGCATCTCTCTTTTTTAATTGGAGCTCTTTAGGTCTATGCTAGACGTGCCCCAACCAGCTAAGTCGTCCTTATCTTTAATTAACCACGCTGCACGAACACTTCAACTAGGGTAGCGTGTTCATGTCCGACTCTTGTCAAATTCCAACACTCCTTTGACACCCTATCATAGTCATTCTTCTTTCTTTATTAGAAATATTATATATTTTTAATTCAAAGTTATTATTAAATAACAAACAGGTACTCGTACTTAAAAGATGTCAACGGGAAAAATTGATAACAAATATAAAAATAAAATTATACTATATGAATAAAAATATTTTTAAGATTTTAATTAACGTGTCGATATGTCGTGTTAGTACTTTTTGAAAAATCGTATGCATGCATTGGATACACGTATTCGTGTCAGTGCATCATAGTTAATTAGTCTCACTTCCATTCTTTGGCTGGTATTTTCATTCCATGTCTTTTGCATTCTGATATGACCATGCATCCATCTCATTTAAACTAAGTTCAAATTTTTGAAGTGTGTTAAACACCAATTATCTTAAGTTTTAACAATCGAGTTCTCACCAGCGATTGACATGAAAGATTTTTTTAATATCCATTTCCTCCATTAAGTGATATTTGTTATAATCTTTTTGCCTACGTCTGGTTTAATTTGCTGATCTTTCTAACTTTTCCAGCACATCCATGGGTTCGGGAAGGAGGTGAAGCTTCCGAGATTCCATTAGACATATCCGTTCTGTACAACATGCGGCAATTTGTGACATACAGTCGACTGAAACAGTTTGCTCTACGGGTAGCTCATGTATAATTTCCTTTGTTTGGCTGAAAAGTATGAATGCAAGTAAATTAACATCAATTATCTATTTCAGGCGTTGGCTAGCACACTTGATGAGGAGGAGCTGGCTGATCTCCGAGATCAGTTTGATGCAATTGATGTGGATAAAAATGGCTCCATTAGTCTTGAGGAAATGAGACAGGTTGGTTTTGTTGTGTGATTGTATGGAGGATATATCTAGATAGTGTTCTGTTCATTTAATATTCTTGGTTTGTAGGAGGAGATGCTGGTACGCCTGCACAAGACTTAAGTTAAATCTCTAATTTTCTTGAAAATAAAAATGAGCAGATGACATGTACCTATTTGATATTTTCATGCTTATCACATCGTGTTTGAGTGCAGGCCCTTGCCAAAGATCTTCCTTGGAAAATGAAAGACTCGCGTGTTCTTGAAATTCTTCAGGCGGTATGTTTTGTCTCACTTGAACAATGCATCATCATCTTCATTGTGGTCATTTGCAGAATTTAATCAGTAATTTACTGAACTCCGTACTTTATGGGCTGATCAGATTGATAGCAATACGGATGGGCTTGTGGATTTCTCAGAGTTTGTTGCAGCCACCCTGCACGTTCATCAGTTAGAGGAGCATAATTCGGAAAAGTGGCAGCAAAGGTCACATGCTGCATTTGAAAAATTTGATGTTGATAGAGATGGCTTTATAACCACAGAGGAGCTTAAAATGGTACATATTTTGTATTCTTATTGAAATAAAAATAAAAAATAAAACTTTAATAGTTTCCTAGACCAACGAAAACTAATGTTGATCAAGATTGCTTGCTATTGAGCCCGTGTATGATGTGAATGTTTTCTACACGAAATGTGCAAAGGATAAAAAATTAGTGTGTAAAAGTGGCTTCTTCTTATACTATGTTATGATTTTGCAGCATACCGGCCTACGGGGTTCAATGGACCTGCTTTTAGAAGAAGCAGACATTGACAAAGATGGGAAGATAAGCTTATCGGAATTCCGGAGGCTTTTAAGAACTGCAAGCATGAGTTCACGAAACGTGACTAGCTCATCTGTAAATCGAGGTTAATGGAAAATGTAGTTTTGAATATTGGTGTTGTCGGTCTGCGATGATAGTGAATGTCATGTCTGAGTTGCTTTCTCAATGTGAATCGCCTCTCATCTGCTTGTCTGTAATATGACGTGCCATGTACCTGTTGCTTTGGCTACTGGACAGGGTTTCGTTATTGTACATTTTCTTTGCTGTCATCGGAAAGGCGAGACAGCAATGATAACGATTTCAGACTTCCTGCTTAGTCTTTTCATTACTAACGTATTTTAGTCCAATGCTTGCTTTCCTCCTAACTCAAGGCTGCTGGACGGGACAATACTTGACTTTCATATTTCTTGTCCTTAATACTTGTCTACTCCCCTCAAATTGGAGCATGCAGATCTGTAATGCTTGTGAGTTGTAGAAGCTCATAGCTTTTGAACTATGACTGCCAACTGGTCTTGGGACTTAACAAAAGGATATTGACTTATCTGTCTCAAGATTTTGTTTATGAAGGGTATAGGCAAAAATGACTTAACTTCTTTGATAGCTACTCATTGTATAGATTGAAACAAGCTTCTAGACAGTGGCATCAAAAGTTTAACAAAATAATGTTGTCATGCGGATTCAAAATACACGAGTGCGACAAGTGTGTATACATTAAACATACATCGAATGCATATGTAATTATATTTCTATATGCAGACGACACGTTGATAATGAGAAATAGTCACGAAATGTTGCTTACCAGCAAGAAAATACTAATAAAGTATTTCGATATGAAAGACATGGATGTGGCTAATGTGATATTACGGATTTAGATCTTTAGAACATCGGAAAAAATTGTACTTTCTTAATCTCATTACGTTGAGAGTATACTTAAAGAAGTATAATGTGTGTGAGGAAAGTCTTACGAAAACCCCAATTGACACAAATTTAGTCAGAAATACGTGTGAATGTACGTCACAATTAAAGTATTCACAAGTGATAGGTAATCTAATGTATATTACAAAATGCACTTGATCGAATATAGCATTCGTTGTGATTAAATTAGTAGATTCACAAGTAATTCAAACCATGATCATTGGAAGGCACTAACGAGGGTTCTTAGGTATTTGAAGTATATCTTAACATATGGATAACATTTTTAAAAATATCCTTCGATATTGGAAGGATATTGTCATGCGAATTGAATATCCGACATGAAGGATTCCAAGTTGTTCGTGTGAAACCCGCAAGCGCATAAGATCTTTGACAAGTAATAATAAAATGAGTTGTGATTTATCGTCTCACGAGAAATAATATTTAATTCTAGTTCATTAGTAACTATTAAATTCGATGTTCGTGATAGGCTAGATGAAGATGGCCCAAAGGATGACCTTCTCCTCAAAGATAATACCCCTCTCCCCTTCTTAGACTTATTTTAAGTTTTCATTTTATTTTAAATCAAGGAATAAAATATTTTGCCTTAATAGTCTTCGTACAATCTTAATTGTTCTAAGTATTTTACTTTAACTCAGATACAAATTCATATAGTTCAATCTGACTTTAACTAAGGGTAAATCTCAAATTTCTCTAAATTTTCTTTCAGAAATTAGCTAAGTATTACAATGCTTGCAATCTCATCTTGGACGGGAGTTGTTTTTACAGCTCACACCCTATGTGGCGCTCTCTTTATGTGTGATCTGGACTTATTTGAAACTTGTTTGGTTCTTCAACAGGCTCAACTTTCTCATCGTGGGTCTTTTTCATTGGTTTAGTGAACTTAGCTCTGTGTTAGCTATATGAACCACATGCACTCAAGGATTTAAAGGTGCCTTAGCATTTAGGTCGACTTGTTAGTACAAAATGTGGGACCTTTAGAATATCTCTTTGTTTTCCTTGACCTTGTCCTATAATGGCATCATACAGTAAGGGAGAGTCTATCACCACGACTCCTACGAGATGTTGGCTTTTTGAGAGGATTCAACCACTTCAATAGCTTGCGTGATCTTTCCTTTGGGCACGAATACTATGCCATTTCATCCGAAGAATGGACATAAGTAGGGCTATAGGAAGTTGAGGGAGATTCACATCCAGCTAAGCCTATTTATGTATAGTATGTTAAGAGTACTTTCTTCCAAACATTGATATCAGTGATGGGATAGGTGTTCAGATAAATCCAACAAACCTATGGAATCGTTGATAAGTAATAGTTTATTGAGAAAATGTACCGAGTCACGAGGAATAATGTTTTAAATTGTTTTATATTAGTTTGTTATCAAACTCGAATGTTATTATTACAAAATATTTGATTTGCCTTTTTCTAAATTTTCCTAATAGTCTAAGAGTATTATGAAACCAAGTACGATAAATAGGTGTTGGAATTACCCATACGATTGTAAAGCCATAAACTGCCATTACTAAGGCCTATCGATCCTCATTTGATATTACAATGTTCTAGATTTATCATGAACCTCCCAAAAACATAGCAAGCATCTAATTACCTAAATGACGATCAAGCAATCAAGTGGTTCAACAATGCTTGCAATATCAATCACGAAAATAAATCCACCAAATAATTGGTCTTTCAATTAAAAATAATATAATAGAAGGTTTCATCTTCATCTCAACTGGTGTGCTGTCCCAGGCAACCCAAAATAAAACCTATACTCCTAAAAATATATGTAATAGTGCGAGTAAGGATCGTTCCGCGAAAAGTGTCTAGTCTAACTCTATGCTATGTAAACAATTACGGGGGTTTTGATTATAACACAACCAATTTAAAGAAATAACAAAATGAGCAATGCAAATTTAAGTAATCAAAATAAATCAAAAGAGCAAACTTTGATCTAAGTTAACATCCACCGTCAAAATTTCACAACTGATAATTGATCTACATATAAATATCAATCCATATTTTTAGCATTCATCGTTGGAATTATTTTCATATCCCTCCTTAATTGCAATTAATTAGAAAACAAGCGATCCAATTAACCCTAATTACTAAACAACCCAAGACAAGTGTTGAGGTTTAATCTAATAAGAGCCTTAAGAATTAGAGAGACCGATGAAACTAAATAATACAAGCGCAAGCGGTTGTATTCGATCACTCAAACGTACTTCCCAAGATTTAACAATTTCTAACACAGTAGACCATTAAATCCTAGTTGCTTTACGAGTTAAATGGATCAAATAATTATGGATTTGATATTTAACCAAGTAATAGATTGTAGCAAATAATAAACTAGTAGGCCTCCTAGTAATTAAATACAACAATTATGAAAATACTTGCAGAAGAACATTCAATACTCAAAACATGAATTAAACAATGAAAATAATTTAGATCTCANGTAAATGTTAACGCTAACATAATATTAATTTGTAAATTTCTCGACAGACAAACAAAAAATAATTCTTTTATTAGTTGTACACCCAAAAAAAAGGTTTATTAGTTAGTTCACTGTATTATTATGTCTTGAGTTTGAAATATTCATAACTTCACAAAATTTATAAACATATTCAAAAGCCTCCCAACACATTCGTGATTGCTTGGATATCATGTCCAATACCGTCTAAGCATATTTTGGTTTGCATGAATATCCAATCTTATATCTTTTGGATAGGCCTGAAAAGTAAAATTGTTAGAATTTAGGTGTGATCGGAATTCTTTGTTGAAGAGTGCACTTTAAAAGCAATTTTATTTGGAATGCTATTGTCGAATCATATTTAAGTATACTTGGCAAATTTTAGTTGAAATTCTATTTAGAAGTCCTATTGAGAGTTATAATTTGTATTGAACTTGAAGATGTTAAAATTATGGAAAGAAAGGGTTTTCTCACTGCATTTTCGCCTTGGGACAGCTGGGCACTGGAGCATTAAAAGCGGAGAGGCTAGCGCCCGCTCGAGCAGAGTTGTTTTTGTCTCGGGCCCTTTTTCACTTTTTAACGAGTTTTCTGGTATTTAACTTCAACTACAACTCTATTATAGGAGTTTGGATATCCCCTATTTATTCACTATATGCAGTTGCCTCTCCATTATGATTTTGACAAAATTAGAATTATTGTAAACACAAATTTTTATATTTTTTCTCCATATTATAATAAAATCTCATTTACTCTGAAATTACATTGTTTTTGTATGTTTGAGATCTTTACTTTATACTGTGACTCTGTTCTCTTATTTTCTTCAATAAAAGTAGTATTCGATCAATTTCGTATCATCTTCGTTTCACAACAAAAATCATTTTTCATTGAAAAATTGAAACTCCGACTTCACAAAATATTTAGATTGTTTGTAATTTTCTCATATTTACCGTTTTGTCCTGAAATGTCAATTTGTGAAGATGTTGCGAAGAATTAATGCTTTATCTTTTTTTATTATTCTCTTCTTATACTAGTATTATCAAACATAGCATAATAATACAACTGTAATTTATTATTATTTTTTTTATGTCAAATGCATTTCATTAATGACTTATTTCATTAAATAGTTACGAAGCGTTGAAATAACTTAATTATTCACATTTATGCTAAATTAATGCAGAATTAATTAAGGTCCATGATCAAACGAACACGGTAATTAAATTGGAGAACATTGACGTATTCACATTTTAGACTTCAGATCCATTTTGACTATTATTTCAAACACAAATATTAACATACATAAATCACAACAAGTCAATATTTTTTTATATAATTATTCTTAGCTCCTTTATATTCATGAGATCCTTTATTTTCTCTAATCCTTACCTTTATACAAGTCATATGGCTTTTTTATTATTTATTTCTCCTCAAACTATGTAAATAAATCTTAACAGTGTGCATAATAAAATATAGATTTTTAACGTTTTCACATTTGACAATATATTTATTTCGAAATTAATGATAAACATATACATAATAGACATAAATTGGGAGATTTATATTATTATTTTTTGCTTCATGTGAGTAATGTGATTTGTGTTGCCTTTCTTAAAAAATATGCTATCAATACTACAAAAACCTCATTCAAATGAATAATCATGGAGATTTTAAATATGTTCAAACTGCAATGTCGCAGTAGTTTGTCACGTATATGAATACCAGTCGTATATAATTAAATTAACGTGACTAATTAATTGTCCAAATTTCATTTGGACTAATTTAATTTGACAATTTCACCTAATTATAAATTTCATATATAAATCATATCAACTAGGAGATGATTATTCTTATCTCCTTCTGAGTTCTGACCCACTGAATTTTTTATTTTTTATTTTTTTCTGTAATAAGAGAAAACTCAATCCCATGAATTAATTTGGAGATTTGAAAAATAT